TCGCCATAACCATCATCATATCCATCATCATCACCATCATCATTTTCATCATCATCTTCTTCTTTAGATAAGTATGCTTCGTATATCGTTCAGATTAATTAAGCTGGAGCTAGCCACCAAGCACCGATCACTTCAAAGAAATTTAGAGGTGTTTATACACACACACACACACACACACACACACACACACACACACACACACACACACACGTGCAAATTCATAACTGGATGCACTTAGACTAACTCGTGTTGTTGTATTGTTATTAACATACCTGTAAACATACATATAATAAGGCAGTTTCTTTTGTTTGTTGTTATCATTACACACGCACACACGCACGCACACACACACATATTTTTATTTATTTATATATAATTTTTAGGACTGTTTTTAATAAGGTTTGATATTTTTATTCAATTTTTTGTAGTGATAAAATTATTAGTTATTATTAATAATGATAATAATAATAATTATTATTATTACTGTTAATGTTGTTGTTGTTTTTGTTGTTGTTGTTTCTGTTGTTGTTGTTTCTGTTGTTGTTGTTTCTGTTGTTGTTGGTGTTGTCTATCAAACCTGGTGATAAATTTGAATGATTTTTTGTTAAATTGTCTTTTTGGTAATTATGCCAATGACGTCATTCTCATTGTCATTCATTTCGACTGATGGTTTATTTATCCGTTCATTCACCTATTCTTTCATTTATTCATACATTTATTCATTCATCATTCATTCATTCATTCATTCATACATACACACATCGTTCTTATTTTGATTGACTGATTGATTGAATCTCGCATAATCAACAAAGTTTATATTCGGCCATTCATTCATTCCCTCATTCATTCATTCATTCAATCATTCATTCAATCATTCATTCACTCATTCATCCATTCACTCTTTAAAAATTTTTCAATATTTTCCTAACATAACAGTTACTCATCGTCACTATTCATTATATTTGCATCATCGTCATCATCACCATTTTGAATTAATAATAATAATAATAATAACAATATTATTATTATATTATTATTATTATCTGTTATTATTAATATTTATATTCATCACTATCATGTTACGTTACGTGTATTTCATTACTGTAAAATATTGTATTATATATATATATATATATAGCACTTGTATTTACTAATTAATGTTTCTAACTTATCTCGAGTGAGTGAATTTAACATAAATAAATAAATAATAAAATAATAATTATTATTATTATAATAATAAAGGAATTTGTTGTGTTCGCTTTCTTAATTATAGCATAATTAATCACTATCATAGCTTCTTTGTGTGGTTTCCACCACCGTGACCTTTGACCTGTCAGCTTTTTTCTACTTCCGGTTTTTCTCTAACGGTGCTGTGACGTCATTATTAGCGTTAATATTTTTTCTATTGTTGTAGCAATTGTTGTTGTTGTTGTTGATGTTGTGGTTAGTGTTGATATTGTTGTTGTTATGATTAGTATAGCCTTCACATCTCACTAATAGCTTGTTGAAACGTTCAAGCAACATATTTCTTTTCTCCTCTTCATCATCATCATCATCATTATTATCATTATTGTTGTTATTATTATTATTATTATCGTTATTATTATTATTAGTTGTAGTTGTAGTAGTAGTTGTTGTAGTAGTTGTAGTAGTATTCTTTTTTCTTTGATGACGTCGTTTCTCTTCATGACGATGTTGATGTTGTTGATGTTGTTGTTGTTGTTGTTGTTGTTGATGTTGTTGCTGATGTTGTTGTTGCTGATGTTGTTGTTGCTGATGTTGTTGTTGTTGTTCACTTGCAAACAGCTGTTTTGCTATCAGTATGAACGCATGTATGAAATCTCTCATCGTGAAATCTGGTAATAATAATAATAATTATAATAATAATAGAAATAATAATATAAAGTTAACATTGGTAATAATAGTAATAATAAAATAATAAAAATAATTACGTAGTTGTCGCTGGCTGTCGCCGTTGTGGTTACTACCACTACTGCTGCTACTAGCACTACTACTAGCACTGTTATAACTACTATTGCTACTACTACTATAACTATTACTACTGCTGCTGCTGCTGATGATAATGCCGCGACTACTACTACTACTTTTTCTGGTAGTTTCTAAGAAGATCAAATCCAGCATGGCTGACGAGACACCATTGAATGTTAGGTGACATTTTCTGTATGTACGTATGTGTGTATTTGTGTTTGTATGTGTTGTTGTGTTGGCGTGTGTGTATGTGTTTATTTATTGATATATGTGTGTGCCAACAGCAACAACAAAAACCTCGTGAAGGCCTTAAAAGCTACAGAATTCATTTTCCTATTCTCCGTGCACCCTAAATTAGCGAAATATACATCGGCCGCTCTGTTTATAATAAGAAAATTTTCATAAGGGTCTTTAGGGGTGTCTAAGGGGTAGATTTTTTCGAGACTGTTATAACCCCTGTGGTTAGAATCTTTGAAGATTTTTATTTCATCGATCGGGGAGTAGTTTGGAAGAGTCCACTGCGATGTTGAAGGGATGGTCAGGCGTGGGTTTGTATTGATGACGTCGTTGTTGTTGTTGATGTTGTTGCTGTTGCTGTTGATGTTGTTGTTGTGATATTTGTTGTTTGAAGTAGTTGTTACAGTTGAAGATAAGCTGGCTGGGGCACTATGTGATCTTATTCGGAGTAATTATTTTAATAATGTTAATATGAATAAAATTTTGATAAATTATGTTTTAACATTATTTTATTGCAGAAGTAATTGAAACTTATCCTACTTCAATTTATACTTCGGAGCAATAAGGAGCAAGGTATCCATAACTAGACATCTAAGTATATTATAAAACATTTTTTAATTTCTCTTGTCGTCATCATGATCATCAACATAACCTTTTGATCTGTTCATCGACAGGGCTAGTAATATTCTTGTGACCTTTGACCTCATGTTGACCTTCAAAATCTAGCCTCAAACTTGGACTCGAGTTGACCTCGAGTAAGATTGGCGCCCCGTCACTGTCCAACAATATGTCGAAACCCAGGATCTGATGAGGTTATTATTATTATTATTATTTATTATTATTATTTTCAAAGCAACCTGAAAACAGGAAATGGTTTTATTTTTGTCGCTAGCCGGCAGACAGCTCCTAAACTCAGACTTGAGGTCTGGAGCAATGGCGATCAATGTTTTGATGACGAGGTCTTTGATTTTCCTCTTGATGACGTCAACATCATAGCCTTGGAATCTTATCTGTTTCATTACCTGGTTGTTCGTTCGTTCATCCATTCGATCATTCATTCATTTATGAATTAATTAATGAATTATTTAATTAATTAATTCATTCATTTATTAATTCGTTCGTTCGTTCGTTCATTCATTCATTCATTCACACATCCACCCACTAACATTGGATAGAGACCTTTTAGAGCCATCTTGGGATGATTCCGTATGTATGTAGTATTTACTTTTCTTGTTCAGAGAATAGTTGGTTAGGTGAATGTAGGGATTTCCAATGTTTTTTGACGTAGGGGCTTTATAGGGCTGAGTGCAAAACCTCGCTAGACCATCCTGTCGTTTGTTTGTTTGTTCGTTCGTTCGTTCGTTTGTACGTTCGTTCGTACGTTCGTTTGTTCGTATGCACGCTCAATCACAGCATTATACTTGCTTGGCTTATGACAGCTTTCGAGTTTGAGACAGAGGGTATTCGAACGAGGTCATAGCGTAGTGGCGAGCACTTCTAAGACATGCACTTCTACCGTCTGAGCTAACTCGTTGCTCTTGCTTACGCTGATGATGTTGTTGCTGATTTTACATGAGTAGGTTATCTTTGCTCTGTGGCAGCAGAAGCAGCTACAACAGCGACAACAACAACGACGACAACAACTACAATTACAACAACAACAACAGCAGTTAACCTTTGACATGTAAATGGTAAGCGGTTCTATACTGGTCAGAACGACGTACAGCCTCAGATCGAACTTCAATCCATCAATCAACATCGGATTAGCTACGTATTCTTGTATTAAGTGTCTTTTGTTAGCCTCTAATATATAATCTTTGGGATCCTGATTATGATGACGATCATTGTTATGATGATGATAATGATGTCGATGATGATGATAGGAATAATAAAAATTATAAGTAGTATAATTATTTAAATTTGACCTTGATGATATAAATTCCTTCGCCCTGAGAACCTTCATCCGGTTTGACGATATATACTGTCTTTGGTAACTCTTTTTGATAATTAGGATTATGATTGTTGTTGTTGTTGTGGTCACCGATGTGATGGTTTTTTTCGTTGTAGAAACTATTTGATTTGGTAAATTCGTATTTTAATCTACTCAGTTTGTCGAAATTGTTAACCTTGTTGATGTTGTTTTTGTTGATGTCAGTAATGTTAAACTTGCTATTGATGTGCCTCAGTTTATATTTGTTGTTGATGCTATTGTTGTTGTTGTTGCTGTTGTTGTTGTTGTGGCTGATGTTGTTGTTTGTTAATGGCAGTTCCTGAAGTGAAATGGACTTTGTATTTATCATTGGGAAACGCGATTTTAGCTTTATAATGTGTGTCGCTGTTGTTGTTGCTGTTTCTGTTGATGATGTTGTTGTTG